GTCATGATGCTTGTTACAAAGTTCAATTGTACAATTATTTTACTGTGACAATTAGTCAAGACCATTCAAAATCAGTATATTCTCGAATGAAACCATCCTTCGAACATGTATGTGTATCTACCTTCTTTTAATTTCATACCACAACAGATAACGATCTCTAGCATGCACTCCCGACATATACTATTGTCATTAGTTTTTCTCTTCCTTTTTGATTTCTCTCTCTCCTAATAATGTCCTTTTCCTTCTTCTTTCTTTTAAATGTATATTCTCTTCGCTGATCAACTTGGTTGCTATCATTATTGTTATTTTTTTATGTGAACTTTGAATTTTTTGTTGGAATAGATGCTATTTGAATTATAAATTAATCGCTGTAATATACAAAGATTCATTTAAAATGTCTGCCATTTTACGGAAGCAGTTTTTTCATCATGGCTATGTAGAACAATAGTTCATAGTTACATATTTGATGTTGATGTTGAAAATTTGATGCTATAATATCATATAATAAATGTGGAAACCTCGGATACAAATCCGAGAGTTATGTGTACTTCAAAAAGTGAATTAGACAGATGAGTCATCCTAGAATGTGTGGACATCAAAATTATCCTGGCAAACCGTTTCTGTGAACACTTGAATTCTATTGGCTACTGCTCAATCAATAGGATTTAGGGGCGAACACAGCTCAGATTTGAATTCTTCGCCTTGATTTACTCTAAGAAAGTCGTTTTTTCTATAACTTGATTTTTATTGGTCCCTGCTCAACCAATCGCACTTCGAGGCAAGTGGAGTGCAGATTCGAGTTCTCCGTCCCAGAAAACCTCGAAGTACCATCTCTGTGATCGAAAGATAGAGCTCTAATTGTGGATCAATCAGAGCGTGGATAAAAACAGAACCAATTTCCGTTTAATTATCTTTGCATTAGGGGGGTCAGCCTTCTTATTTCTTTATGTTTTATATACCACTTTGTAGCTCGTGAAATTCCCTATCGAATAATATATAATAGTTGGGGGTTTTATTTGACTATGATAGGAAAAGTTGTTCACGAAAGCGGGATGGGGTCGATTTTCGCATAGGAAGGTACAGGGAAAAGTGACTGTTTTTGCAATAACTTAGGAACGGCTCTGCGAATCATTCTCGTCTTTGAACTTGACCGAGATGTTGTTGAAACTAAACTGCGCAACAAATTCCATCGCGATCTGACTTTTCTTTCAAAAGTTATCGTGTAAACGACCGGACAGACAGACACACTGACCGATTCTAGAGTGTACTCACTTTTTGAGTATACAAAAAGAAGATTATTCGAGACTACATGGTCAATCTCTACTTTCTGAACCAAACGAAAAACAAGTCCTTTTGTTCCCATATGTGTTGGCTTCTTGATAAATCTTGTATTCTCCCTTTCTATCATTCTTCTTTTATTGCAAAGAGAAAACTTTGTCTTTCTTTTTCATTCTTCTCCCATTTCTCATATTACTGTTATGTTCAGTTTATTTCTGAAAGATATCAAGTAAAGTCTTAGAAAACAATAAATTCCTTTCTCCTTACGTCACTAACAGGACTAAGATCAGAAATATCCCAAAAAGTTATATGATAAAGACAAAATTGTTTTGTTGTTTATAATTTTTATACAATTCTCATTGTTCTAAATATTAATTAAAGAAAGCTTTCAACTTCATTTCATAATATCTATTAAAAATCATGATTATAATGTTGTTTATTCATTTTCTAAATTTTATCAAATACCTGTTATATTTATTATCTTTACCTAGAATGTATTAAAATTGTGATTTCGGTGTTCGATATGAAGTAATTATGAAATATTTTGCAAAGTGAATGCAAAATGGAACATTTTGATTGTCTGATTCTCAATAGAAAATAACAAGTTGAAAAAAAAATCAAAAATGACAATGAAATAGAAACAGCAACCACAGCATATTTAGTTCAATCTAAGCATCTTCAAGGGTGTGAGTGTATTGAAAGAGAAGACTCATGCCTATCTGACACCCACACCTTGTTGTTCTGTTCATAAGAAAAATTTGATCCATCTCGGTTTGATCAAAATGAGTCAGATAATATTTCTGTCATTTTCAATTGGTTTTCATTCTTTTATTGAACTGTATTTTGCTATGTTACAAGCTAAAATTATGCTAGCAATGATAATACGACGATTTCATATTGTACTTGTACCCGGATAAAAATATGCCCTGGGAATTGCCATCAGATTGAGATGATTTGATTTTCATACAAATATTTTTTCAGTTCATAAACTCACTGTTCTATTTCAAACCTAGAACGGTTTCTAGGATATGTGTGAAGAATACTCAGTTCTGTTGTTGGATAGAGAATCATTCAGTGATTCTCTCTGTGCACTTTTCTATTTCAAACATCACTCAAGGTTGTGCAAATCGGCATCATCGGGAGAGAATGTTTTTTTTTCTTTTTACCTAGCAGAAACGAAAATACGAAACTGAAAAGAACGAGACAGAAAATAAAGATGTGTTTAGACGCGTACAAGAAAAATGCGATATTCGTCATCGTCAAGGGGTTCTCAAGAGCATTTATTCTTTTGGAGAATGTGTGAAGCTGCGTAATTCTTCGAATACTGGCTTATAAAATGAATTTTTTCGTTGAATTACTTAGATCACACTAGATCAAAGAAAAGAAGAATGCGGATATGGATGAGTGAATTGAATACCAACATCCACACTCACGATTACTTTTAGGAAAAAACTTCCATCCTTATATTAGTAATTACATTGTTTCATTTATTATTTATCAAACTTAATATTCGCTAGTTGATGAATAGGTACATGTCGACAGCAATAACTCTAATAAAGATTCAACAGTCAAATAATTTTCGAGGTTCTATTCGTGTAGTTTGACCACAATCATTTTTAATCTTGTTTATTCGCGCATTCTTCGCAAATGTCGAATGTTTCTATTGCACAAGGGCAATGCCATGATAAAAACCGAGATTATTTCGAACATACATCACATTCAAATTCTGATGTTCTATCTTGATAACGATCCTTCATTTTGCGCATATCTGCGTTAAATAGCTCGAGACAATGTCTCCATGGACATTGTAGCTTCAATTTACCTGTAAAGACAAAAATAGCACCAAAACGAATATCAACTTATTTAACAAGTGAAAACAACTGTATGTTAGAAACGAAGGTAGAGTCGAACTAATGATTTTTTTTGTAGCACTACAGTTTGTAGTCCTTTCGCATTGACAGACAATTTGTACTAGTCGCTTTGATTTGGTACTTTATCTTTTAGGGTTAGAGCTTCATGTATGAAGCACACATAACTTTCAGTGTATGAACTGGGCTCAGTTTTTTGTTAAACTTTAATGATTTACTATTCAAAATGATTCGATGATGTATGTCATAAACAATAAAAAAAATAGATCTACTCATATTGATTATTCGACTTGAAATCCTAAAACTTCAATAGACTTGACTGTATCAGTCTAATTTAAGCTTCATAGAAATCTATCCTAAATTAGGAATCTGCGTCTAGATTATACTCTTCCAATAACTTTCGTCTACTTGAGTTTAAGGATTTTATTGTTATTATTGAATGCAATGAATACTGATTGAAAGTAATTGGTTGATACGAATTTAACATGTTTCATTTGAACATCAAGATTTACTAAAATTTTTTTTGAAAACAATTGAAAACTATTCCATCAAAGATTTTTCATATCTTCTTTGTGCCTCTTAGAATAGAAAACCTGCGAAAGCTGCTATCATAGTAGCTTATGACTCATTGAATTTCGGAATAAGTGCTATTTTCATTATTGTAGGCTGAGTTTAATACGACGAAACCTATTGGGAACGAAAATTATAGAATATTCATTAATGAGCAATAATATTAATATTCAGTTCATATAAAATAGTAATAGACAATCAACGACTCTGTTTCATAAAATATATGTCGATGTCGCTTCTTATCATACATTCAAAAGGGTGTGGGTGGGTGTGGGTGTGGGTGTGGGGTATGGGGTGTGGTGTGGGTGTGGGGTGTGGATGTGGGTGTGCGGGTGTGGACAAAGAATATATCTACGACAATACCCAACCACACCCCACACCCCACACACCCACACCCACCCACCCAAGAAATATATTTATAATAGTGCCATTGTTATTCGAACAGGGTTGGGTCATCCAAAATTGGTCCGCTTCGAGGCCTGGCGTCCATCACTGTAATTTACCACGATTTACCGCTAATAGCTAGCCGGTATCTACGAATTTGCGTATTATGGGGAGCAAATGACATAAAGTTTTCAGCTAAAATAATAATTTTATCATTTTGTGAAAATATAATTTGTTCTTGTTTATCTGGATTTAAAACAATTCCAAAAAATCTTGTTTCATCATGTAAATATTTCATTAATCTATAACCAATTGCTAAACATTGATATTTTAATGTTTCTTGTAAAACTTGATAATAACTAATTGGTGTTTCTAGTGGAACGAACATCGATGCTAAACATAAATAAATCTCAGGACCATCAGCTGTTAATAAAACATCATAAACTTTTTTTATATTTTGATTTTCAGATAATTGTGAAATATATTTTGATAGTAAATTTGGACTAACAATAAAATCATCGGCACATGTTCTATTTGCTAATTGACAATTACGTATATCATACATTTCTGCTACTATACTAAATGTTTTTTTATTATTTGATTTATCAATAATATTTTTTAAATATAATAAACAAATTAAACATTCAGCATCAGCTTCTTCAATTAAATTTTGTTGTTCACTTTCTTCATTTGCTAATAATATAACATAATCATAAGAAAATAAATTTAATTTTTCTAAATCAAATTTATTTGTTAAGCTTCCACAATGTACAAATATTTTTTGTTCTGTTAATTCATTAGCTAATTGTTCCTTTATAAATTGTGTTATTATATTAGAATTTGTTAATATATGTAGTTCACTACCGCGAGCAACATAAGTATCCAATTCTTTAGCAATTAATGGAGCTTTTTTATTCCATCCGAGTAGAAGATTTCGTTCAATTCTTTTTGTTGCTCTTCTAGTCATAGGATTGGATAATAAAACTGTATTATGATTAAATAATAATGATGATTTTGATCCTGAATATTCATAATTAATATGTGACAAATAATCAGATGACAATATAATTTTATCATCATCTTCAGCGATAACAATAATTTGATCATCAATATTTATTATTGTATTTAATCGAGGAAATATTTTAACTGTTCCATCGGATAACATTAATCCAATTACTGAACATTTATCATATGAAAATACAGCATCATAAAATGTTCTACCAACAAGTGCACTTTCATGTTTAAAATAAATTTCATCATTTTGAAATGATAATAAAGTTGATAATATTATACTTAAACCCCTTTGTCGACATGATTGGGCTATAATACGTGCAATTATTTCATTGGCATAGACAAATAATGCTTCATCTCCGCCTAAAAAAAATATATTATTTTTTACCATTAAATAGTTTTGCGAACAAAGCTAAATTATTTGTTTTATTATTCATATGACATTGGACAGCAACTTATGTATTCGAGCGAAGTACTTATATAAAAACAAGATGAGTAAAATATGTAAAAAAAATATTTCAATGTATAAAATCTAATAAAAATCTGCAATTATTGCCGCTTCTAAATTAATTTGTTCTTTTATTTCAGCAACAATATGAAAATTAATGTTATTTCGTCTTGGATTATTTCTAATTGCTAATATTGTTTTTATTATTCTAACATCAGGATTGTTTAATTCCGGTGCCAGTATAATTATTGATCGTGCTTGATTAAGACTCAATTTATTTAAATCATTGATCTAAAATTAATAAAATACATATAATGCAATCATTTATTTAGGATACTTATATATAGACAATAAAATAGAAAATAGAACAAAAAATTCTCTTCGGCATTCATTATTACGAAAGAGACACAGCAAACAATCAGATAAGCGTTGCCCAAAAAAATTCAAATCAATGTTTTCTGGTTTTCGGTTAGAATTTTTGGAAAAAATATTTTTTTAATTATTAGAGTACTTGGAAAATATTCTTTAAATGAATTTTTATAGCCTACAAGATGAGCGAATAAGGGAGGGAAAATGGAAGAGCACGCTGCAGTCAGAATATTATTATTTTTTCATTGCCATAGTATTAGTAAAAGGGAGAGACAAAAAGAAGAGCATTTGTCAAAAAAAACAATTTTTCGTATTTTTTACATACCGACATTGGATTACCATTTCTATATATAATTCTTGTGTTTCTTGAATTATTTATTTTATCTTTAATCATATATTGAACCTCACTATTATCTTTTGATGTCAAAATAACAATTGAAGGATTACGTTGATTTTCATTTGCACTAATTAATTCATTAATAATATCAAATATTTTTGGTGACCATCCTAAAATTACTAAACACAAAAAAAGAAAGAAAGACACACAAATTTTTTCTGTTTGAATATTTAACCAATTTAATTTATAAATTTTACTTGTATGATTCTTTTCAATAACTGTTGTATGTCCTTTTTTTAATTCATTTAATTTTTCATCCATAAAAGTTACAATTGCACCAATTAATATTGCAACAATAACAAGACCACAAAGTATAACAATACCAGATATAAGTCGATGTTTTACACCTTCATCGTGTGCTGCTGCACATGGATCAAGTATACGTGTAAATGTTTGCCATAATGCATCTTTATAATTATCTGTTTCTTTAGTATAATAATAAATTATACTAAATATTAATATAATAAATACACTTATAATAGTTAATAATGGAATAATAAAAATTAAACCATGAGCAAATAGATTATCAAATTTATATTTTATATATGAACAAATATATTCTAATGTTTTATTATCATTATTTAAACGAGACACATTACCGTTTGTCGATGTTATTTTCATTTCTTTATCAGTTACCTAATATTTCAAATAACCCTAGAGAAAGTACTGAGTTCAGGGTACCCATGTACTGAGAAAGCTCTAGCAGGGTACCCAATATGGGTACTTTGAAAATTCTCAGTAATTTTACTGATGTATGTACTGTTTGGGGTACCCGTAAAAGTACATTCACTGAATAAGTACCTGCATGGATACACAAGTCTGTAACTTTACTGAGGAAATCTCGACAGGGTATCCTAAATTTTTCGCGTTCTGTGTGGCGACTATTCATTCACCGTTTTCGTTTTTACGTACGGCTCTATATAAACAACTCGATAAATCATAAGAAAATAATCAATTTTCATACTAATTTTTTCTAAATTATTTCTTGACTATTTCTTAGTCGAGGAAATGCCGAGCTTGGTCGTAAATTAAGATCGGACTACCCTGAAGTGTTCTACGACCAACTCAAGTTGAGTCGGATCCCGACATTGTTCCTGCTAAGTTTTTGGAATTGAAAAAATTAAATTGAATAAAGTAAAAAAAATCTAGTAAATTATCTGAAGAAAAAGAAAAAATTTTAAAAAGTCAAAGATCAGGTTCGATCCTGAACATACTGAAAATTTGGTAACAGGGTACTTAGAAATACTATATAATGGTACCCAATTCAGTACTTGATCAGTACCTTTAGGTACCCAATTACTGTGCATTTTCCAGCAGGGTACTTGCCAAAGTACCACTTAGGTACCTGTAAGTACTTTGGTACCCAAAAGTTCCTGTGACATACTGGTATCAGGGTACTTTTTTGGGTACCCTTAACTCAGTATATTCTCTAGGGAAATTATACAAAAAAAAATCCAATATATTAAATAAAGTTTTATATTCTGACGTCAGTTTTTTCGATTTATCATGTCTATCATATTTATAATATCATTGGAGTCATTTCTCATATGTGTCTGTTATATATTTTTTAATGAGATTTCTTGTCTTTTAATATTTGCAAATAATAATTATAACATCCGACAAAATTTAAAGTATATTGTTCCCAGACCGAGCATTACGGTAACCAGAAACGACCGTATACAGTGGAAATACTGCTGCGTACGGCTGTATCCTCGCCGTATTTCCATGGGCTGTATTACGATGGTATTTTGCCGTGCCGTAAACGGCATGATACGAAAACAATATACGACTGTAATTATGACTTGATACGGCATCAATGCCGATGTGCAATGCCTTATACGACATCGTTCACGACCGTAATATCAGCGTATACGGCCGTTCCCACTTTCGGCAAACCAAAACAAAGCTGAGGCATATGATAGCCATCAAGAAGTCTTTAAACATATCTTCTACACTCCTCCGTTTATACTCTCAGAAACTCCAGCCGAACCAGGTACAAAAAAAATATAGATACAGATCTTTAAAGATCTTGAAAAATCGCTAAATAATATATTTCAAGATCTTTAAAGATCTTTTCATTCAAACACAGTATTTTAATCTCGAAAATGCCTACGAAACAAAGTATTCTTCCATAAAAGATCTTTCTTTATCAAAATATAAATTCAAGCAAGAAAAATATCCTAATATCAGGTACTTCAAAGATAAAGATCACTAAAGATCATTAAAGATCTTTTTTTTTCTGAACATCGTAATTATCCCCAAAACCACCTTGAAACCCAGGTATCATTCAAAAAAGGTCTCCATGTATGAAAGTAGATTTCTAAGTTTCAAAAATATCTCGGAATGAGGTACTTGAGACAAAAAGCGATTTGCAAAAGATGGGAAAGATCGTTTATTTTATGAATAATACTACTTAAAAATCGATTTTTCATACTTGTTACTTCTACCTATTCTTTCACTCAAAAGAGCACGAACACGTGGTGCACCCCTATATATAGAGTAGACAGAGTCTAGAAAAGAATGAAAAATCACGATTGTTTGATGATGTTATGAATAGCTAAAAACCGATTTTTCTTCCAATAGTGGACAGTTTTAGTCTAACTTTTGTGCGTTTGTTATCCGTGTACTCAGTGTGAATATATGTTTTTATGTGTGCTATACGTGATATTGTTTGTGAGATGGGTGTGTTGTACGAAGAACCTGCGGTGTATGAACGGACATCAAGCAGATCAGACCGTTGGAAAGATGTTTGATTTGATAGAATTATTGCTCATATCAGAAAATAGAACTGAAGAGTCTTTCTCAACTTCATAGAAACGCAAGTGCTTTTAGCTGTCAACTGGTACACTTGATCATGAGAGTATATTATTTATATTGAATAATAGCAATTCCCTAACATTAGCGATCTTTTTGCGATGAAATAAGATTTAAAAAAATAGTGTTTTTGTATCAGACCGTTTTCAGCTGATACAAAAAGTACGTCGCGATATTATGCGATGAACGTATATAGTTGGTGTAGTGTTACAGAAGTCGTACATGGTGGTTTTTTAAGGTAATTGTTCGCAATGACCCGAAAGCTTCGTAAAACATCGTTTACGATCGCCGTAGGTAATGACCGTGTAAAACTAATGAATACGATTTCTTACGAAATTTTATAATATCAGCGTTTACAGTCGCTGTGTTGCTACGATAGTCATTTCCGGTAATATTTTACAGTCAATTTTACAATTGCTGTAGTATGCCGTAAAGCATCATGTACGACTGTTGTAAACGGTCACTGCAAACGGCTGACATATGCGATATCTTATATTGTTTTCCGACTAAAGTATACAGTCACCGTATTTTTACGGTAGTTTTTTATGATGGACTTTCACGGACACTGTGTACGGTTGTCGTAATATGCTGTAAAGCATCGTTTACTGCTGCTGCAAATGGTTAACATAAACAATCGCCGTTATTGACCGTGTTTGGTCAGTGAACGACCGTTTATAGAAGAGTAGGTTTGACCTGGGTGCATTATTGCATTCGTTTCGTATGTTAATACTTAGCGTTGTCGTCAAGATTTTACATGAAAATGTTAAGTGATTCTATTGAAATGTACGCGAATTTTTTTATACAAGTAGCAGCTGGCAACTGTTTACATTGTTTTTTCATTTATTTAAAACATGTGTTTGTTTAGTATAATCTATTTTTAAATCTTTAAAAAAAAGATATACCACCACGGCAAGATGCAGACTTCTTCTTTATAACAAAATATCGAGACATATATATATATATATGTATATTCTTCTATTCGTCAATGGGTATTATTAATTATTATCAGTACTTTTCATATGTTTATAATATGAACAATTTTTTAAGCAGGCACAAGAGAACTTTTTCTCTACTTGTCTTCAGGCTTTCATTTCTTGAGGACACATAATCTTATGATTGTAGATGATGCTTACAACCTTGTACAAGACACATTTTACTCAAATAAACTTTTCAATTTAATAATAATATTACCAAAATATGCTTTGTCATTACTACCAAATCAACAACCAAAATCACGAACCGACAACAAAAATCAGTTTTTTAATTCTAATTCGGTCTTTTTTCGAAAAATTTAAAATTTACTCCAATAATTGCATCATGCATCTATGTTTCTACAATTTTACCAAATCTACCTCAACTTGTATTTTATAAGCATAAACGTAAATGACTACTGAACTTTAGAAAAATCAGTATTATAGTAACTTTATTATTCGCCACTTTTATTATTTATTACCTTAATTACTTTTATTCTTTGATTGTAACTACAAAATCAAGTTATAAACAATATAGAGTAACTGGGGATAAATGTATAGAAAACAATAGTGAGTTTCAGTATATTGATAACAACTTTTTTTATTTTTCATTGGAATAAATGTACAACCGACAAGCAGGATTCAAAGAACATCTTGAGGATAGGTGAGCTCGCAAGATTTTGAGAAAATGATTTCACTAATCGATAGGAAAACAATTCAGCTAGATGTTTGGCCAAGAAAATTTTTCGAAAAAATGAAAAATAAAAAAAGTTGTTATCAATATACTGAAACTCACTATTTTTTTCTATACATTTACCTCCAATTATTCTATATCTCCTTTTATGACATATCGAGTCGTATTCTCATAGCGATATAAGATCGGTTTATAGATGTGCCATTACTGTACACTGGCCAAAGAAACAATTGGTTACCTAACTGCATATAGTTTAAATGATTTTTCGAATTTGGAAAGAAAAAAAATGTTTTAAAAACATGGCAACATAACATATGAATACTCATGAATAATGTGATTGAATTTTACCAAAAAATGTGTTGTCAAATTCTTTTTCCGACGTACCTATATGACGTTCATTAATGGTAGCCAAAAAATTTCACGTAATTACAACACAAATTTCTTACTTTTTTTGCACAAGATACTTACTGTTCACGTATCATATACAGCTGCTGTTCTACAGAAAAAAAATATTTTTTTGAAGCCAACAAATAAACGATGGCGAAAATGAATTAGATGTCTTACCTTTTTGCAATAATGCTTCTGACATTTAGTTAAAATCGGTTTGTTTTCCTATTTAAAACTTTCACGAAATTTTTTATATTTACTAATTTATTTCAAAAAATGCCTTTCCACATTAAAATCAACTTCACTGAAAGTAACTATAAAGGAAGATGAAGACATTATTTTACTAAATAATGCACACTATTTATAGACCGTCTTCCTCTATCAAACGGTAAGATATTTTCATAACAGAATGCAAACAAAAAGAAAAACACTTGGCGCACCATGCTAAATTACCTAGCACATAAAAAAGACAGTTTATGACCGTGTTACACACTTAACTGTTCGATTTCTGTTTTTGTCTTAAACATAGAGGGCTGCGCAAATACGAGTACATTTTGTACTCTGAAATGGATATGACTCTCAAAAGTTCAGAATTCAAGATTTCACTACATCAAATTCAACCGTACAGCCGCACTCAAGAATTATTTCAATCATTCTCACCCTCACTCACTCTCCTCCGGAACGTAAAATTCGAGAATTCATTCCATGTACTGGCATCCACGGTCATTATACATGTCAGTACATAAGACGATTAT